GGGGGGGGGATCGACAAACTGTGAGCTGAAAGTGTAAGACATGGGCGGGCAAATTGCTCTTGCGCATCAAAACGCGGTTGCGTATCCCCGTCAAACCCAGCTTTCACGTAGGCAGCATACTTCCAAATATCGCACTCCCCCTTGTCGAAGTTCACACTGAATTTACATTAGCTGCCAGATGGCTACCAGGAAAGCAACTGGCTATTCGCTGAGCACGACCACAGCTCCACTCCGAGGTTGAACCTTGCCTTGGCTAAGCAAACTAGGAAAAAGCTGAAAGTAAAGAACGCAACAAGCAATACCTGCATAAAGCGTCTATAGCCGCATTACGTAGAGCATCAAGAGCTGACTTTCTCTTAGCCGATGTCTCTTCTTGGCGCCTTTCTTCACTCTTTTTTTCTGATGACTAAAAATAAAGCCTAAAAAACCTACAAACAGAAACCTGTATCAAGGTAAAGAATTAATAAATTTCGAAAAAACTACAGTTTCCGACGACAACTTGGCAAGAATTGGTGCGGGTTCGAGGAGAAATCGAGATAGAATTGGAACCACAGTCGCAGTCGCTACTGAGGGAAATTTCTCTGCCAGTCCTATGAGACGAATACTTGATAAGAGCTCCTTTTTCATCGTAAGAAACATTCCGACCTCCTAGTGATGAGAGCGCTCGAAGAGATAGCGGCAACTGGGAAAGTTGCACACGACTCGTGTTGACAACGAATAGACGAGCAGACATCGTTGAGCAAACGGCATCAGAATCTTGAAGGTATAGCGATTGAATATATTGTACAGAAATATATGCAACAGCTGAACTGTGCCTACGAACAACATTGTAGCAGAATGCACTCGATATATATGTACATACATGTATGCATTTACTGCAGCTGAGCGCCGCTACAAAGCAGCCAATTCAACTACACTATGGTGTCGATAACTCTCTGGACTGTTTTACCTCCAAATGCTATCGGTTGCCACGAAAACAACGCAACACGTGGCCTTCCGAGCGACAAATCACGAGAGTAGCCCTTGAAAACCCCGATCAGTCAATCCATAAGCGCTGCGCATTCTTTTTATTATTAGAGGCGCGTTAATCAGTCGCAAACGTGCGGAAAGTATGAGTGCACCTTCATAAAATGTAAAAACGGCCTTCAGACCAACCAATATCATCAACAGCAGCCCAGACAATTAGCTCAAGTGCACAAGTGGCAGCCAAGATCGAAATACTATGACGAGGCAGCTCCAGATCCGTTGAACGTCGCCCTACCCCTGCAGGGGTCGTACGACGCTCTCCAAGTGATTGCCGTTGAGCTTCTAACTGACCCAATAGATGAACAACAAATGCATTGAGCTAAAAAGGTCAATTTGAAAAATGCTAGGGTCAATTCTGCATAACAGACCTCCTTAGCAAAGTTTTCCTTGACAGAGCAGCCCTTGCTGAGCACCGAAAAGGGTCGCAGAACCTCGCGAAGCATTGAAAGGCATGCCAATGTCAGAGTCTCACTGACTGTTTTGTACGGAAATCGTTTGATCAATGAACCCTAGATTAATAGAATACTGAGGAAAGAGGAAAAGAAACTTAGAGGCAGCTGACCGTATACACATCTGTGGCATGATTATCCAATTGGGTTAAGACTTCTTTTTTGAGTATTTGTTGCACCTAAAGTGAATAACATTGGGTTGATTATTCACAAAATATCGATAGGAAAATTTGAAAAGAATCTGACCGTATCAAAAAGAGATTCCAGTTCCTTATTATTTAGGAGAAGTCGACCGCCTTCCTTCGTTTCGGTGTAGGAGTAAACAAAACTTGCTCCGAATTTGTTGTACAGTTTAGCAAGACGTTGGATGCTATTCGTTGATGTTTCCTTATCAGTCAGAACAGGTCCTCCATCAAGCCAAGTCCAGGTATCGTCGGAGCTAATTCGTGGTATCTCGGGGCTTAAAAACTACTCAAATGACAGAATGGATTCGGAATCAGAATAAGTTATTGGCCATCTTGATTATAAAAGAACAAGATGAATCCATAGCAGATAATGCGAACTCTCATTTTCCGAACTCCGTGAAAATCTCCTGCCACCCCGAATGTTTGTACACACGGCACATTACGATAGATAGGGGAGTAATCCAATAATTACCCGCAATTTTGTTGTAAATTCATTGCAATACAAATAAGAGACTTGCAATAACATCATTTTTCAGCACAGTTCTCTTGACTTCTAACGATCTAGGTCCATGGAATATAATGCTTCTCGATGTCTTCAGCAAAGAAGTTTCCTCAATTGGAAAGGTTCAAACAACGATTCAGCGCTTCGCTCGAATCTTTGTCACAAATCGACTGTCCGTGATGCATCTTTAAGTGAATCAATAAGCGGAAGCCGAAAGGCGCAAGATCAGGGTTTACAGAGGAAAGACCCACTACAGGAAGCCCTAGTCAATATATTTCGAATAAAAAAATAGCAAATTAAATATCGTAGCCCCTTCCCGCTCACTTTTCCGAGAACACCATTGCCAGATGTGTTTTGTAATCAGACATCTATAAAGCCCACTGAAATTATTGAAATACGCACTCCTTCTTTTCACTTCCAGAGTTGCTCTCAGCTGGCGTTTGGAATTCGACAGGAAATACATAAGAGATTAAAGGTCGGTTGGCATCCACAGAAAACCGGCCTAGCGATCGAAGTAAACCCATAACATAACAAGTTAACCTCAGAAGATGAGCTGAAAGTATACATAACCTGTAAGCATTTGTTTGCTGCTCCAAAAACCTAAGGAGATCAAACTGTGAAGGAAACGTAAGCAAGAAGAGAAAAAAGGGAGGAAGAAAAGTGATTTAAAAAGTATACATTTTGATTGCCCAATATTCTCATGATCCTCCAGAAGTTCCAGGATTGAAGTTACAGCACAAGCCAGCGCATCTATCTAAATATTACAAGATACATAATAGTTTTTTTTGTAATATGACCAATACTTCCCATTATAAATCCAAAAACTTCACTTACTTATATGAATTACTGGTTTCATGAAAGCAACACATTAATTGTTAAGCTGGCTTCACCGAAGCAAGACAATTTTTATGAAAATCCGAAAAGTTCGACATGGCAAAAAAAGTCACACCTTCGCTCCCACTTCTTGCCCGCCTACGAAGGTCCCATGCCGCCCGTTTACATTAAATTCAGCTGTCATTCTCGTTATTTCCATAATGACCCCTTGATCCTTCCTTCTAAATTTTTATCGGGCTGGCAAGTTGAAAAACTCTGAGTATTTAGCTCACGCGTTTACGAACGACTTTTCGGCTTGCATATTGTGGTGTGCACGGTGAAATATTCGGTGTGCAAAGAAAAACTCGCACACAATATGAATGATTAGAGAAATCAAGTGCTATTACAAACTGACCTGTGCGCTGACAATGACATCACGATAAGCAGGTAAATGTGAGGCAAGATCCGATAGAACAGTATTGAAGCAAAAGGCAAACTGTTCTTGTATGGGGACTCCTGAATCACGGAGAGTGGCATCACAATGACTCAAACATAGATTTATGGAAACGGAAACTGACTGTCATTTTTATTAAGAAGCCCGTCGTCGACCCATTTCAGTTGTGGAAGAAGGGCAAGTGCCTTGATAAGCAATGGAACGAGTTCAGCTGCGAACTAAAAGAAAAAAAGAACAAAAATGTGAAAAACCTATCTCGAATAAAAATTAAGCTACAAATTAAAAATTAACGGTGGTCAACTGATCCCTTCATTGATCGAATAATTAAAATGAAAAATTCGGCGTATCTTCAACAGAACCATCTCCATTTATTATAACCAACCTTCCCACACGAATAAAGGAGGAAGTTTCCGATTCCAATGAGAGTGGATCGCACATTGTGATTCAAGGGCTGGGACTCCAAGTCTTCAGAGAGTCCGTTTAATAAGGTCCGACGCAAATCGCTGAGTGTTGTCTTCTCAATCTAAAACTTTTTTTCTCAAAAAAGCCGAAAAAAGGAAATCTCTCATGATCTTTAGTAGAAGTTATAAGTCACAAAACGAAACGCTCATTACCCCTGAGTGTGACTGATATACTACAGAGCATTTCATTACTAAAGGCCCACCCTTCACTTCACCAAAACCATTACCAGGAGAATAGCTCAATTCTGTAGTACGCACCATCAGATTCGCTACCCAGGAACACTTGCCGATAAGTTTTCGAGAATCACAGAATTGAGCTTCTCCAGGCACCCACGATTGCATCTTTCAGCTGTCATTCACGAAAAACTTCCTGTAGTTATTGTAAACTCGTCGGACAATAATGCCCAATGAATTTTCTATAGGGTTCAGATCAGGACTGCGCGCGGACCATTCCATAACGTCGATTTTGTGCTGTTGAAAACCCATCAAAGTTGACCTGCTAGCGTGGGCTCTTGCATTATTTTGCTGTGCCATCGGTCAATGAATGACGAATGGTTGGGCTGCAGGACTTCTTGTTACCCTCACGAATCCATTCGATGAGAAACAGACGCTTTTTGTCTTTTCAATGAGTTCGAAAAACCACCAACAACCGCTGCCGCAGTTTCGCCGACTACACGGTACTGGCTCCTTCGTCAGATCTCGCCCGTAGCATCGACATCGAACCCATCCAGATTCATATTTCTTCCAGTCCTAGAGGATTACCTAAGTTAATGAATCGCTTTGCAACATGTAAAGCACCGCCCTTCTCATATTTCCCTCACAATGTTGCTGTTGCGTCCAATAGCCCTCCAGTCCGTCCAGTCTGCTCGAATCTGATTGACACTACGGCTACTGTTGAAAACCAACCGCCGAATTCGTCGCTCATCTTTTGCGAATAGCATTCTCCTTCGTTCGGTGACTCCCTCGGAACCGTAAGTCTCGGACTTTTTGAGGTAGGAGCATATAGCACAATGCTCCTGTCCATTTGCTCGGCGATTGCTGGGTCCGGCTCGCGCACAGCCCGCATTTGGGCTCTTTTTCAGTAAAAAGCCGAGAACCACGTGACATAGCAAAGAGACATTCCTAAACTATTCATTTTAAAAACATGCACTAGGATCGGAAAAGAGTGTTTCAGGTCATTCACAAAGATTCGACGTATGAAACGCTCGGAGTTTGGAGGGATATTTATTTTGAAAAAAAAAATCCAAGAGCTTCCCTCATTGAAAACATGGACATAGTTTTCTTGTATAGCAGATTGCTAGTGCATAGTAGAAATTTGGGTCAACGCATCAAGTAGTGTTTTTGGTAAAGTAAGAGATGGACTTACTTTAATGAAACGCATTGTATTATATTTCATCTAACAAAACAGCAATTAATGGAGGTTGACATGCACCTACACAGTGATACGTTGAAGAAACTGACATTGCGCAAAGCGCACTCAACCTTCCTTTTCGAATGCAATTAGATAATGATTTGTGGGATTCACCAAAACAGGTCCGGTTTTGAAATGGAAAGATAGAATCCTATAATCGATTTATAGGCAAATTGCATAGAGACCTGGATTATGCTACCGGTTAGAGGCAAGGTCTAGACAAGGTGATTCTCGCATTCAAACAAGCTAACCTTTGCCAAACAGATGGCTGAACATTGGATGTTCTTGAAAACGAAATCATCGATGTCCTTCATGCACTCTGAAACATGGAGCAATGTCATCTGAGCTCACAGAGAAGAACGTTCTAATTTGATGAGACTGATGTATATGACCAATGAGAGGGAACCGAAACCTTCCTTTGATTTCCCTGAGTGAAAGTAAAAGCCAAGTCACTTCTATTAGATCAAATACAGGAAAAATCGGCCACATTTGCCCCAAAAAGATTTTCCCCGGCCTCACAATCACAGAAACCCACTTCTACTGCTGCCTATAGCATCAATATTTCAGACATTATCTTGATTGTTTTTTTGAGCGCAGGTCTACATTTGCCAATAATTTTGATGTAGCCAAAATGAAAGAACTGTGGTATTAGGCCACTCATGGAAATTTAAAGGAAAAAACCTCAGCCTGCAAACCAAATTAACGAGGAAAACAATATTCATGTGCACGCCACAAATATAACAACAAGTAATGAACAACAGTATTCGTGCGTCACAAAAAGGCGCATAATGACGAATGTTAATCAACGTATCACTCATATACACATTTACAAACACAGGTACTCTCTGTCAAAAGCTTTTCCCAAAAATTGTTAAACGCTTCCGAGACTTACTCTGCCGAGAAACAACAATAAAACCTGCTGTAAATGTAAAAAAAAAAACGCAATTTCATGAACTGGACCAATGACAGTGCCAAACTTTGTTGCCTATAGATTGTGTTCGAATATAATGACAAAGATTTCGTAAAAATGACCAAAAAACAGGTATGCAAACAGGAAACCACCCTTCCATTCAAAAAAGAAAGTCGCCGTGGCTAAGTATAAAAAAAAANAAAAAAAAACAGAGAAAGTGATTTAATAGAGCATTTCCATATTGCTGTTTCGAGGCTTCTTGATTTTTTCAATGTTCTTCGTGATGATGTCATAGAGGGTTGAGAAATGATTACGCATTTCTAGTACCACTAATCTACAAAGGAATAATATGATAAATTAAAACGATCTGATTATTACAATTTGCCTTACCTAACATTTATGAATTGTTTCTCGTCCATATCTAGTATTGCTCTCCTGTAGTCGTCCACATGTGGATATTTTGCGACCTAAACTAGCAATTAGTGAGACGAAAATATTCCAACGCAGGGACAAAAATTACAGAAAGCGAAAAAAACCTTAGAAATTCAGTGCATTGTCACAAAATAGATAGATTTGGAAAAGGTTCACTGAAGGCCCACATATGGATAGTCACTTTAGCACTTAGATGACATGGGACCAAAATAAAATCAAAACCAGTCCCCCAATCTCCCCAGTAAATTCTGACCCTCGTGCTATACTCGGCTCGGCTTCGATGTCCCTAGTAAGTTTCATTGGACCACAAAGATGACTTGACTGTCACACATCGATTCCACTGCGACAACAGCAACTCTTCTGACAAAAAGTTTCTGATAGGCAAGTACCGGCCTGTTAAGCGAACACGTTGGAGTAGGGCCTGAATTCTGCCCTCGCAAAATAATCCCTCTTAGAAGATATACAGCGAAGCAATGTTAGAGCAACAGAGAGGAGTTTTTTTCGTGTTTTGTAAAAAATAACAAAGAAACTTAGCTGTATAGAATTTAGAAGCGTCATGAATGGTTAAAGGAGGATCGAGGCGAACTGATCACTAAAAATCAATGGAAATGCTTTCATTACCTTGGTCAGCAACTTTGCACGACTGGTAAAGTATCGGCTCATCTGATCCAAGAAAGAGGCTGCTTCACTTTCAACATTGCGAACCTAAAATCATAGTGAGAAGAATAAGAATCGAAACACAGCCTCAAGAAATACTCAAATCTCCCTCCCCTTGGAAGTTCAGAAGCACCTTCCATTTGAAAGATTACCTCACTGAGAGTTTCCTCCTGAATCGAAACACCGAAGTTATTTCCATCTTCAATGCGAGGGATCAATAAAGTTATCCACATTTTGACCTGGGATGGACAAAATAGCATCGTACTTATTTATTAAGAGGAGTAAGGAGCCAAATAAACATCCCGATGGAAAATTTCAACTTGGAACAGACTTTGTTCACGTTTTCAACCGCATCTCTCAGTAACGGGCGAATCTGGTCCATCAGGTCGGCAAGGTGCGCATTACAAGGAACGGTACCATTGATGAAGCCATATACAGGCATACCTAAAAGGAAGATCGTGAGCCCCAACTTGTCGAAATATTCAAGGCAGATTAGTATAATGTTGCCATATCGTATCCGCCTGCAAAAAGACAGACCGTTATTGGAACTGGAGCCCACTTCACCGAGCTTGCGCTTTTTTGAAGCTGGAGCATCTCCATCGACATCGTTCTGTGGATGGAAAATTTTATTTGGAGATATTAAGTGAGTAAAAATGTACCACATGTGCCACGCAAGGGACAGGGATGTTCAAATCCGGATCGGGCATCATCTCCGGCAGCCGAGCGTAGGAAAAGCGATGAGTCTAAGAATAGACCGAAAAGATTGATTCGAGTGTATGGAAAAGAAGTAATGATCAAAGGTACCTGCAGCAGATTGTTATACTCAATCACCTTCCTAGGAAACTCCTCCATGACGATTCGCTCGGCCTCTTTGAACAATTCAGCTTTATAGTCGTTGAACTGAATAAATTACGCATAGCAAGCTAGTACAAAGATAACGATCGGTTTTGTGATTGAAGCAATTCGCTTTTGCTATTCCCTGATAACCGCGTTCGTAGTGCATTTGGCCGATGGGCAAAGGCATCAGGTAGAAGGCGTCGGTGTTCATTACATTCCACATGTTGACTAGTGCTAGAAATCGCTAAATATCTGACATGCTCCAAGATGCCTACACTGTCTCGCTGTTTTCGTATATCTCTTTCGCGTGAAGGAAACTTCATTCTCTGCGAGAGGCATCACCAGTTGCTGAGGTACTTTCCTTCGAAAAACCGTACGTGATACGTGATGAGTAACTCCCTAGTCATACCCTATTTTTCCTAGGAGCCTATTCACGAGAAAACCTCCCCAATTTTAGCAAACAGGTGCGAGCAGCTCTGAATGAACTGAAAGTAATAGCTATAGCGCCCCTCAAAAAGATGATGATGTCAGGAAACTTACAGCTTTATTTGTTCCTGCCTTTGTCATTGCTGCTTTCTTCTATTTAGGAACAGCACACTAAAAGTAAATTAGAATCGATGCCAATAGGTGGTGGAGCATGGAACACGTTAAAAGAGACCGTCGCACGATCATATCGATTCATAAAAGATATCGACGGATTGAACCAAGAACAAAAAGATCGATTTTGATAGTTGAAATATTCATTATATATTTACATGAGCAAATGGAATGGAAAAGTGTGGATATGAGATACATCATAAAAAGCTGTCTATTTTTTCTGTCTCATTATATCAACGGTGGTTTCATGACATTGCCTAAAGTTCATGTCTGAGGCACCCAAAACGTATTTACCCGGGTTTTTGAAATAATCCAATCCACGTCCAATCTTGACGATCCATCCATTATTGAACCTAGAGTACAAGAGATATAATTGTTTCAATGTTACAAACCAAAAAATCGGATCTTAGGTCATACCTAATCTCGCGGTCATGAAGTGAAGGAATGAATTCGACTTTTAAAACGACATTGACTTTCTCCAGGCTTCGCGTTAGCTCGTCAAAAGCTAGCTGATTACTTCGCGCATCCATCCCGGTGCGCAACGTAATACATCGAATATTTGGAGCGTTGCCAACGACAAGTTCACAAAATCGTACGAAATTCAAAATCTGTAACGATGGCATGACAAAAAGAGGAAAGGAAGTGGACGTGATTGGAAACTGACCTGGTGATGTGCACATACGTACGCATCTTGAACGTCTACAGCGGTTAGCTTATCGTCCAAACATCTTCCAAAAATTTTATCGTAACCGTGGCCCACACTGTTCGCCTCGATTCGACGTTGCTCCAGAAAACCGACCTGAATAGTTGACTGCAACACTAACTTTCAAGGATACTGGAGATTACGAGAAGGCTGATTTAAAAGAAGGGAATTCTATAAACAGGTAGTGGAACAAAAACGGGATATGGAAAGACTTATCTTAACAATACGAAAAGAACACGATGGAAGGCAATAAAATGTAATCAAGAAAGATAGGAAACAGTATGTTGTATACGAATAGTCCACGTAGATGGACGGTTACGAATCATGACCCATAATCCATCAGTAGAGCGAATAAGACCCCGACAGGGAGTCGTATTCGTCCCGTGAGTGGGGCGAGATCGAGGGAGGCTTCTTACAATTTCTGTTTGACACTGAGCGAATAAGATTACTATTTATGACCTTACCTCACTAAAAAACCTACTCTCATAGATTTGAAAAGTTTTTTTTGTGTGTGCGACCACCCCATCAGCAGAAGCCAAAACAAATTTAAGCCAGCACCAGGATAGGAACATCCTATAAGTTACGCAATAACGTCACCTCGCTCATACTTAAGGGCCGTGAAAAAAAGCTGTTACTTTGCAATCATTGTTTCCAGATATAAAATATATTGACATACAAGTAAAGGTGAAATAATCCAACCAAGATGCAGTAAATGAAAAAATGCTAGAAAGGGATAAGGGAACATTCTTATTCTAAAGATGACACAATGCTGAACAGATTTAGGCGGAACTTCACGTTTGCATTCCGAAATGCAAGAAAAAGGGTTGCTCAGAACAGAAATACTCTTAGCTCAATAAAAAAATCGGCATCCTATTGCTGAGAGTGAGACTAAATTGTTCCGTACCTCTACTTTAGTGGCGTCTTTCAGCTGCTCCGCTCTTGAAACATACTGTGCTATCTGTTTATATAACGGGGACCGACGGTTGTCGTCTATTGACATCATCCTGAATCGAAATTCTAAGAAAAAAGTACCAAGAATGCCACATTACACGCACCCTTAAAAGATAGAACAACAACATATTTAAGGATTTCCACGAGATTTTACGATAAGTAGCATGATTGAAGCTTGTGCCAATCTTACGTCCACATATTTTAATACAACACATAACATAGTTCTCCTGATTCGGAATTGAAATTTCGGAAAAAATCTTAGCTTACAAACGACACACTTGCCCGACGACAGTTTCTTAGAAACTTGAGTGAAAGGCTTCTTTCCTAAGTCACAAGTTACTATTTCACAACCAAAAGTATTGAAGCAAATAAAGGTTGTCTGAACGATGATCAATTCCTTTCAAGGCAAATTTGTTACTGTAAGCAATTCTTTCGAAAGACAAATCACAGCCGATCGCTTCTTGGGTCTGTTCCCTGTTACTCATAGCCTACTCATTCCAACTTCTTGCCTTTCGATTCCCATCCCTCTAGAATTTTAACCTGGAACTTTCAAGCATCATCTTTCACGGAGCAGATCAGTGCAGAAATGTTGTGATGTCACATGATTGCTAAAGATGGTCGAAAAGGTTAAAAATTCCGAAAAGTCAGAAAGGCTTGATAACTTCTGTTGCATCACTCTTCTGAACGATCATACGGTTTTATCGAATTTGCCGAATTTCCTAGTCTGAACTTGGGAAAGCAGACATGAAATAAAATCACTAACTCTTACTTGACCGCCTTATCGAGATAGTCGATCCCTTCCATATATAGTCGAAGAGCATCGTTGGGTTTCTCTTTCCTGTCATAGTCCACTGCTTTTATCAAAGATTTCTTTGCTGATTCTATTAAATTGTCCTCTTTGCTCATGGAATTCGCGTAACCCTGCGCGACCCAATGGAACTCTAAAAAGAAGTGGATGAAGGTATGACGCCTTTCTAGCGAGATCCCAACGTCAACGGGAATAAACAACACACTACAAAAGGAGTATAAGGAACACACAGTTAATTAACGGCGACATGCCCGCGTAGTTTTCAATAATTTTACAGGATTCGACGGTTACGAGACTGCTGTCAACCGAAATTTCCTTCGCTGAGAGAATCAGACGGAGAAGCAGTCCCGAAGCGCTGTCTCGACTAGCGGAAACGAGTGCTCCCCCGTCAAAAGTTGGTGTTCGAACGGGTATGAGAGTCGAGGAATTGTAAGGGAGATTGACTTTTATCTTGCTGTGTGGCAACTTACTATGAACAGATAAATGGGGAGAATGTAGGGGAAATGATGGCGATTCTGCAAGGGTTGATGCCGGTTGATCAGACCAAGTATTCTGTGAAAAGTTGTTGTTGGGCTGATGGGCTTAGTCTTTGTATGAATATCAAATAAACATTTCAACAGACCATTAACATCGAAAAAATCTGAGGTACTGCTTCGTTTACCGATATCGACGAGATAGTTTGAAGCCATACAACAGCGATGAATCAATCTAGACCCTACAGCGTTCGTTATCTCTCTGTATAGAAGGTGTTAAGTTTGGGGAGACCGAATTGGATGGGCGAAGAAAATTGATTAGGGTATGGTCGCATGCGTGCGTCCGAGGTTGCACGCGGCAAATTGCGCGGAGAAATTCGTGGCGATTTGGACGACTTTGGCGCTATTATCAGGGGGGGGGGGGGGGGGGAATTTGAAGTACAGTAGTTTAGTAGAGTCAGCCGATATGATAGACGCTAAAGTCGTTCAAATCGTCACGATCTTCGCCGCGCACTTTGCCGCGCGCATACTCGGACGCACGTAAGTTCCGTCCCGTCCCCCAGACGATACGAACGACTCTGGTGCCGATTACTGGGACCCAAAATCAAAGTAGAGTAGATTAGCAGGGCCAGCTGATACTATTGATCTACTCTTTTTCAAGTTTGTGCCCCATAATAGGCGCTAGAGTAGTTAGAATCGTCGCGAATTTCGCCGCGCAATTTGCTGCGTCTTTCCAGAATCGGGTGAATATGGAGAAAGTCCGTTGCGCGCGTCCGTCGAAAGTAGGTCTTCCCGCCTGCTCCGGCGCACCCCTCTGAGGCCTTGAGATGACACTACAGTACCACCAAGTGTCAGTGAAGCGAATGATCTGCATTTGTCCGTGTTATCTTCTCTTTAAGATGACTGTCGTGGGCCAAGCGCAAATCGTATGCCCTGCTGACAACTGCGACGTTCGTCAAGTTTCGCGAGCTTACCCGCCGCATGCGACGGCTGCGGCGTGACCTAGTTTCGACGGACGCGCGCAACGAAGCGCTCCCAGGAATATACTCATACCCCTACCTAACTTTGTATGTCTGTCATGTCCGCAAAAAGTCGCGTAGCCTCGATTAAGAGTGAAACAGCACGTATGCGCGGTGATTAAGCAGAGTACAGGGTGATCAAACTTTCACGGAAGAGAGGATGTAGGGTAGGGAAAATTCTTCTAGGCATCTGTTGGTAGCAGACATCATCAAACGCTGTTAGTTGATTTCCAATACATCTTTGTTGCGCAATTCCCCACAGCCAAATTCGAGCAAAATTTTGAATAGGAATGTTATTGATAGTTGCTCTCCCAAAGAATCCATCTCTCTAGAGTGCTTCACTGATACTTGAGTAGTGAAATAGCTTCCCAGAAATGGAACATAAGTGAAGTTTCGGGTGAAGTAGACGTGTATGCAGAGCATGGAAAAGTCCCCATGTTCTTCTTGAGTTGGATCGTGGACAAACGTTTGGGGACATGTGATACACGCATTGGCGAGCACTTTGGCGTGGATACTTTTCTTCGCGGAAAGGTACCTATCGAAGAAGACGAAGAGAAAACGGCGAGAACGCTGAGCCGCTCCACATGCGGTTGACAACGGCCCTATAACCGGAACGGGTGCCTATCCTTGCTGGGAGATGTGCAAGCTCGATTCGTTGTGCGAAACTTATGTGATGCAGACATCTTCCTAGGCTGGAATATCTATCAGGGAGCGAGAAATCGGGTGAGGAACTATGCATCGGACACCCTTTTATTGCAGGCCTTCCGTGACTTCAAAGGTCCTGTTTCCATTACAAAAATATGTGAAACATTCTTCTATTATATTTCGTCACATGGGTATCTGAGTGCTTCTCCAATTCTAACCTAGCTTATGGCTATTGTTCCAAAAATATTGCGTGGGCCTCTCCTAAGCTTCGCTCATACTCGACGTTTATCGCTGAATGTTTGGATTAAATTACTGCGTCACTAGAGAATAACTCGGGAAAGCAACATATCCCACCACACTCACCCACTCTGCGAAGCGTTCTTATAAGAACACTTGACTTTTTTTGTGGGGACCACTAATAGTAAAGCCAATCCCTAACACTTATACATAACATATGAGTAATGATTATCTAGACTATAGACTACAGTAGCCGATGTCAACAAAGATCAAGAAATCATTGAAGGCTGATGTGGTTTGAAATTTTATTCATGAGTATAACTTCTTTGTGACCAGTCCGCTAGCTCTGATGCAGATGATTCGTCTTCAGTTCCATTTCTTTGTGAGAAGGTCCTGAACAACCGCTTTTGGACGGTTGAAACCATTCATCTGTAAAATCGATCCTGAAGAATTTCAAAAAGATGAAAGGTACACAACTGAACACCAGTTTTCAAATAACTGGAATCGTCCCTCAGAAAATCCAGGGAAGTTGTATCTGTAATGAAAGACCTTTCTCTTACCTGAAAATTCACATTTCACGTATGTAGGATCTGCACGTTCCGTACGATAACGCAGTACCTGCCTCTCGGAATTCAAATTATAACAATTCAGAATGAAGCTCTGTCAAAGTAAAAATGCTCTTGAAGGGGAACAATATAGGCTGGAAATAAGTCAAAACCCTCTCCCATCTCTGAGGGGCAGGAAAAACATATGCCGAGAACCCACATTTCTAAACAGTTTTTCACAGTGGCATATTCGCAACGGACTCTTTCGGAGCCTTAATTTTCCTCGATGCATGATCTGCAGAACAAGTCTAATCACAAAGTGCTCTCACGAGCAACTTGCTTGGTGCGTCTATCTATGGATTTCTTTCGGTAGGTTCCTGTGCTGACATAGGTTTGTGGTGTGAGCAGTCAATGCTATACACACCAGGAAATCAATCAGTTCCGGAACTGAGGCGATCTTCCAGTTTGGCACACGATAATATCTTACTAGCCGTTACGCAGAGCTCTTCTCCTTTTAGGATAAAAATACCAGCCCATATCTTTTCTAAATGTGGACGCTCTGATACAGTAGAACAGGGGATGTAGATTTCCAAACGATTCCAAAAGTTTTCCAAACGCACATATATACACTCACACTTACACACATACACACACACTGTCGTGGTAAATCACTGCTCTCTATTGGGTTGTTCAGGAAGTTTCCACCGCTTTTGAACACCCTGGGTTTATCAACTGTGGTACGAAAGATCTAGGACCTAATCTTATAAAGTTCTACGTTTTCTGGAAGGTTAAGTCCTTCCCTATATCACCGTTCAAATTCAGATAGATTCCTCAAAGTCTGTGTGTGTAGAACTCGTGCAAAGATTGAGGACAATCGCATGCATTTTCGGCATCCGATGATTTTCTTCTACCGCAAAGGCAAGCACGGTTTAAGCCGCGAGAAAGAATTGTAACATTTAAGTACACTATGCTCTAGGGGGATGTGCAGTGCATAAGTGGATTGCGATTTCACCTCGAAACACTCAAGTATGCTATCATCAGTTGAAAACGACCAAGTCGGAATGAACGATTGAGCTTATCATTATTCGTGAAATAAGAGGGGGATTCAGTGTTTCGAAATTAACCATATGTGATCATTTGCTGGAACTTGGTCTTATTAGGCGCTTTGATGTTTGGGACCTCATAAATTGAGCGAGCGCAATATGATAGGCCGCGCCTCCGTGTGCGACTCGTTGCTCAAACGAAACAAAAATGAGCTGCGTTGGAGCGCATGAAAACTTGAGACGAAAAATGGGTTGTATACAAAAACGTGGAGCGGAAACGATCGTGAAGCCGTCCCAGTGAGCTGTCACAAACCGCTTCGGAAGTCAAAATCCAGGTGCGGAAGATGATGCTGTGTTGCTGGTGGTATTGAAAGGGCATCGTCTATTGAGCTATTGCCGCAATAATGAGACGATAACTTCGGAATGATACTGTACTCCGCTAGGCAATTCGAAGGTAGTAATAGACCAAAAGTGCCCAGAACTAGGCAATGATAAGGGCGTTGCCTTCGTATAAGACAACTCCAGACGACACGTGTTCTTGGCCACTCGTCAAAAATTGCTAGAGCTTGAGTTTGATATCTTACCACATACCCCATGTAGTATGGATCGTACAATCCTCTGAAGGACTGCTAAAAGCACCTGAGAGGATTTTTTGATTCTAATTCAAGAACCTTCTACGGAAGTGGGACAGTAAAACATACAGGAAGATGGCTGACGATTACTGAATAGAATGGAGAATATATTGCTCTATGATACTTTTATGATATCTATGCTTGCGAGTAGTATCTGGCTTCAGTGCTACCCCGGGTTGCCAACTCCACGTGGGTGGCCGGAAAACCCGTGTCTCGAAGTTTTGGCGGGTTCCTATGACCCCGGTTGTGGCGAAGGGCATCATAGCCGGCTGATGTGGGGTCCACTCCGAGCAGGTGCTTCTTGCTTCAAGGCTAACTGCGCCAGCTGCTTATGGTTGTGCCTTTGCTATACTTGGTTTACACACTTATTGTCACTAGATTATTATTCTACAATTTGTGAAATTAATTGGTTACCTTGTGTCTCCAGCTCACGTCTTGCGCTACACTCAAGCCTTCTGAACCATTGTTGCTAGTTAGCAATGCTCACTTCTAGCTATACTAGAATGACTAGATGGTGGTTAAGTATCCTTTATAGATATCCTCACTTTTGACTTATTATGGTAACTAGTTCTTCAGTTTGAGTTTTTGTCTCTACGCATCATATTTATGTTTTTGACGGCATGTCGAATGACGTACTAAATAATAAACAATGAACAATAAACAATATCGTTTGATAAGTGGATCTCTTATTCTAGAAATTTGTACTCAAAAACTATCCAAAAATTGACGAAACTTTTCGGACAAGCCAATAATTCAACAAGGTATAAGGAGTTGACTCTGAGCAAAGCCGCCGCAGCTGTGACTTTGCGGTAGTCATGCTTTAGATAAGCAGGCCAACATGAGCACGTGAGACATTACGCTGAGAACACTTGCTTGCTATTCCAGGAGCAGAAGCTCTATGGAATTCAGGAGAGAAATCTTGTTCAGCGAAGTCAACACACAGATGTGCGTCACCATTTGACATGCCAATAAACCAACAGGTAAGCTCTCTTTCCCACGACTTGCAGTAGACTACAATGTTCCCCACGTACCTTGATGGCCACGAGAGAGACGCTGGCACTTATGGGATCATGTGTAGTACAGACGTGCTCCAATTCTCGGCATTAAACAATAATTCCAAAGTTGAACAACGCATCTCAATATCCAGGACATTCCATAATAGATGCAAGGAACGTCCGCTATCATCTTTTGCAGTTGCTCGACAATCCCGCCTTCGTGTTTATTTTACCTCGTTGCGCACATTCCTAGATCCAAGTTCGTATATGAATTGCATGGAATTAAAACTAATGGCACAATTGCGGGTGCACATCTCACTGCACAACACTAACATTTCCCGAACTCTTGCTTTCAGGTCGAATATACCGCAGCAGATCGACGACTGCTCTATTACCGTGATATCGCCTGCTAAGCCCACACGCCTCATCTTGCACAGCAAATTTGCGTTCAAGGGCAGTGAAATTTTGGTTGTTCAAAAAGATACAGAACTCCGGCATGGTGTTCCACAAGAACACAAGCTTCAGGTAGCTTCTACCTGTACAGGAAGCGAATGATTCGGACTGCGCCACGGAGCGAGCCAACTGATGTGACTGTCCAATTGACTGTGCAGGGATATAAGAAAAGGCATGTCCAACGTACTTCCGATTTCGATCACTCGTAAAAGCCACCGGCAAAAACGAATCCATCATCGCGCACTCGGCGAGGGGAAAAATAGCATTTCCATTGAGCCCAAATTCATGAAGGCAAGTGCCGAATACGTAGTGTCCCAGGCACGTGAAGTTGTCGTAGGGCCGCTCATAGGTTATCAAGTTCTTCTTGGACGTGACTTGATGTTGGCGCATAGGCAATGAAAAATTGTTAGGGGCGAAGTGCCTCTTCTAGCGTTGAGATTTCAGCAGCTTCCCGGTTCTAAGTAATGATGCCTGGTCTTTTGCCCATGATTTGCCCAGTATCCGCAACCTGAGATCGCTCGCTACCAACCAGAGGCCCTTCAATGAAGAGCCAGTCGGGCCACCCACTAACGCCGGTCTTCCCTCGTTCTTAGGTGTCGCCCGGCTTCGCTGGGCGGTCCTCCTTCCTGTAAGAATTTAGCTATGCGTAAATAACTCCTCGGACTTTCCTTTTTCCGTGGAAACTCTACACCCTCAGTAATGACTCCGAATTCGGAGCGATTTTTCTGCAAGCCATCTTCGCTGTGTCCGGTGAGAACATCGTATAATAACACAAAGGCGATTATTCAGAGAAAAAAAAGGACAGATGGGCAGAGGAAGTGTATCTCCGTGAAATCTTCGTGCAATTGGAATACTTTGAACGCTCTATGGCCAAATTGTCAATTTTCGCGCAAACCCCGCCCCTGCGGGCGAGGTCCTTTCCTGCCACCTATACTAAGTGTTCCCATCCTGTCGCCTGCACTCCTACCGAATTTTTAACGCTTTAGTTCCACGGGGACAGGACTTATGAATTTTCGGTCAGACACACACACACATACACACAAACACACCAACACACACACACTTAGCCGATTATATAAGTAGGATACTCAGTAGAGGACCTATGGCAAAGTTTAAAGACTCACGATGATTTCGAGGTACCCTTTTCGAACTGAAAAGCGGAAGTATTGTTGGGATTAGTGCATCGGTGGTGAAGAGAGCGAGAAAACCCGCCTACTTCGCGGAAGATAAAGCGAAATGGCATGTAGGTGGCATTTAAATGAGATTTCACTTGTAGCAGCTGTGCGAAGAGCCGATACCAAGCCAGAACTGTTCAGAATTGCCGTTAACTGTCGCTATTGGTCATGACAAGTTGTTTGAACTTCCGACATGTGTTTCTTGTGAATGATGCAGCTTCTACAATGCCGTACAAACTCGTTCGCGCATACACACGGGAAAGCTTTAGAGCCTTATTACATCCTAATCAGGCCATTTTACGCCCTGATAGCGCCAGATATGGTATACGAGGGCCTCAAAGTCTTCCTATGGGAAAGTCTCAGAAACCATTTTAATCGTGTACTGTGCCTTCAAGTAATATATCTGAAACTTTTTATCTCCTCTATTTACTATACACTTATTAGATAACTCCTGATGTTTTTATCTTCATCTATGCAAAAATAAGGGTGCAAGCATATTTGCAGGCACTGAATAGTTAGTTTCGAGAAAAATGTTACTTCTGATTTTTTTCAAAGTTTTATTCTGAAAAATGACTACAAAATAATGGCAGAACAATGAAACTCTGCTTTCACATGTGCATTGTTAAGAGACGAGTAATGTTGATGCTCGGAGTGTTGATTTGAGCAGTTATAACACGAATATTACTTCCAAGCAAGGAAGAAGTTGTGGAAGAAAAATGCTATAGCTTATCAAAATTTCACTCATGCAAATGAGATTTGAAGTAGTCCACTAGTGTTTTATGATGTTTTTTTATCCAGTTGATCCGAACTCTGATCATTTCGAGACTCTTGTGGAACGAAATCAATTCAAGAGCTTCAGGGTGAGTATGTATAAAGTTTATCACCTAAAACACCAAAAGTTCATTTTTCGGTACATTTATTGTCTGAAAATCTATTCGTATGTCTTTATGTATGAAGTACGAACTGTAAAATGCTNACAAGTCATTAAGCGTACTAGGTAAAAATTTTATCATTTTCACTATAACTCCACATGAGAGAGGGTGCGATAAGCACTGCGACTCCATTTTTTGCACAACTTTTTTCACGCGAAAACCTTAGGTGCACATTACTTTCGTATCTATTTTGCTGTTAAAGAACGGTGCCATGTGTGGTGCCATCAACATGGAAACAGCACCATACCAGAAGGGTCCACACTGCAGGGAGCCGCGTCAGCTGAGCTACTGCAGTATTAACCAGTCTTCCCAAGCGTTGATGTAGCCACATACCCAAAAAAAATGCTGGCAGCTCGCATGAAAGTAAGAGCCCAGGGAAATAAGGGAGACACGAAATCATATTTACCATCAAAGTTGCTCAATGCGAGCAATATCATGAATTTATATTGTCTATCATATTGGTTCCGACAGTCAAAAGGCTAGGGAAGAGTTAGAGAACAGACAAGTGGGAGCAACGTCTGACTTTAATGAATTGAAGAAATACTAAGGGTACCCTTTCAAAACTACCTCACTACGATGAAGGGAAGCTTTGAGAAATTCCAGGACTACCATCTTAGCATTACAATTGGCAGCGATCGCCTAATGGAACGGCGTGAACCGTAAAATTTCGAACCTTGATATCAATCATCTTCTGCTTCGTATTAAGCTTCACGAATGATCCTAAAGGACGGTGATTGCTGGCTAGATGCTGACACTTTAACTCAATCGCATAAAATCTGCACAGTGTGATGCAAACTACTATCGTTGATCTCTAAAGTGAAGCTAAACTGCCATAGTTGGCCTAAAAACTCATCTCAATGAAACCCTAGCCTTCCCATCTGGTTACCAAAAGACAAACTTTAACACCGATCACGCTGCAAACATGAAGATTGGATTTGGATGATGGAATCTCGGTGGTGAGGGCCATACACGTATAGTGTTCATGAACAAGAGTGAAAGGTGCCATAACCACACTTAGAATTAATCTATAGGGCTTATAGGAGAACTGAAGAAAGGGCCTTACGACGATTATGCGTGGTGATGCGTCGTAAGTCCCCTACATCCTTGTGTCCCGTCAGCTGCTAAGATTTGAGACTACGAAAACCAAGTGGTTGATAAATGAGGTGCCAGACTCGAAGGTAAAATGTTGACCGAAGTCCAGTAAGCTGAGGACGCGCCCACATACATCAAGCGACATTGGCTAGCTACTGTGTGGGCAACACTGCTCACTTATCGTAAACAACACTTGATTATCACAGAAGACAATAATTAGATTTTAGTGGTCTACACTGAAATCTGACTGAAGACTTTTCTCTGCTAATCCGACGTCAAGTTCTGTCGCAATTGTAATATCTCAAAGTCTAGAACCAGACCTTTTTGTAGTGCACTTCAGTGTGACCCATAGATAGAGATGCATGGATTACTTGCTGCAGTATTTTGGGATCATTCCGAAGGCTGAAATGCACATGATTGAGAAGCCATGATTTTTTGCACATGATTTTTCCATTGGCACTTGGTTCGACTTGTTTAGCCGGAAATGAGTTGAATGGAAAAAGAAGGGGTCGCCCTAACTTCTTCATTCCTGACCTTAGAGGCGGGCAGAGGAACGGTTTTGTGTAATAGATCCGCCGAACGCGGCAAGCTCGGACCTTTTGCCTCGTTGTAACAGTTCTAGCGTTCTTCATACAGCTCAATGGCTATGCGATTATTACTTACCAGGCGGCCACACACGCATTCGCGTCCGCTAGGGGCTCTAGCCAGGGGAAACGTAGCCACATGAGCTGATTTTCATTATAGATCTTTATCGGATTTATGAGTTTCCGCTCAAACCCCGCCTCCTGTGGGCAGAGTCTGGTCCTGCCACTCACCATAAGTTTCCCCATCATGGCGCCTGTACTCCTACCGAGTTTGAACTTTCTAGATCCATAGGAACAAGAGTTATGAATTTTCGCCCAAACCCCGCCCCTTGCGGGCGGAGTCTGGTTCTGGCACCCACCATAAGATTTCCCATCATGGCGCCTGTACTCCCACCAAATTTGAACTCTCTAGGTCAATGGGAACCGGAGTTATGGATTTTCGTATATAAATGTAAGAAGGGATGTGAGCTTCGAGGCACGCTCCGCCCATTGTGGGCGGGCCTCCGCTGACGCCATTTATGCTGGAGACACTATCGACAATGCTTCTCTCACATCAACTTTTTCCTGCTCTGTTGGCTTTCTCCAAAAACATACAACATAAAACACTGCTTTTCAGAGAACGCCCCGCCCATCGGGGGTGAGTTTCCCCGTTTGGATCAAACTCACCAGTGCACTCCTCTAGCCACCTTTATACCCCAGTTTTGAAGCCGTCTTGTGACTGAATTTGGAATCATCTACTTCAGTACAGCTCATTTCGATGCACGCCACGCCCACTGTGGGGCAAGCTGATGTGCGCTTTATACTGCTCGGGACATGGCCCACCCTTCCACGCTTGACCCGGTCTCTCCAGGCAGATCTGAAGGAGCTAAGGAATTTCGTGACAGACAGACAGACAGACAGACAGACAGACAGACAGACAGACAGACAGACAGACAGACAGACGCAGACAGACAGACAGACAGACAGACAGACAGACAGACAAAACGACAAACGAAGCGCTTTGTAGCAAGTAGGGTGGCATGGTTCTACTATTAGTTCTTTTGTTCCTGAATTTCTTACTTGCGGCTGCTTCTGCTACATCTCTTCGCGCGCGGGGCCCTCTCGCCGCGACGCGACAATTTCGTTCCTACTGCACCACACTCAGTTCTGCAGTCCCGAGAAATACGCAGAATCAATCGTAAAAACGAAACTGCTATTAAAGGATGCAAGGTTTACGATGGTTGCTAAATGAACCTAAATGAACCTGAATGTGTTGACCAGGCTGTAAATGTCCAAATAAATGTGACATAGATGAAATGGATCAAGCCCATTGTATCCTCGGAAACCGAATGCTCCTGGACGCCCAAAGGAAAGATATATCGTATGGGGGTGTGGTGCAGTAGGAACGAAATTGTCACGTGAACGATTCTGAGTACTTTTCGGGCTGAGGAACTTGGTCTTATGGATGTACAGACAGATCCCATTCTAGGCCAGCAACTTCTGCCATTTGGGGGGTGGAACAGTCATCCAGAACTGGATGGACGCGGCAAACCACGCGACGGAATTCGTAGTGATTAAAACGGCTCTGGCGCCTATCATTGGGGAACCAATTTGAAGTGGGATATATAATAGCATCAACTGGCCCTACATATCCAATATACTTGGAATCCGTACCCCATGATAGGCGCCAGAATCCGTTTTAATCACCATGAATTTCGCCGCGCGGTTTGCCGCATCCATCCAGTTCTAGGTATGTACAATACTCACCCTAAATGTTCAAAAAAAAAAAAAAA